TTTCTGCTCTTGATTATTACCTCTATTTCCATGAGTGAGTTTCTTCTGGCTTCTGTAGTAGAAAGGCCACATCAGGTGAGAGGCCTTGGAGGTGACTTTCTGAAGTTAATACCAGTGGCTTTGCTTTTGGGGGAGGGGCTGTTGTTTGGTATGTTTTGTTTTTGAGTGGCAGGGGTAGGGGGTCCCAGGTAGCCTCTTAGTCTTGAATTGCCTGATCTTCTTGTTTTAGTTTGATTGCTGGGACTGTAGGTGTGACGTTAATTATATTTGGCTTCTAGTATAAAGACTGTTTACCATTTACTTGGTACTGATTTATTTTAATTCTCTATCCTAAGGGTAATTTTTTGAAATTTTTTTTTTTTTTTTTAGAAGAAATAGGCCATTTTTTAAAATTATTACTAATTCTTTTTTTTTTTTTTTTTTAAAGGTTTATTTATTATATGTATTCTATCTGCACATATCCCTGCAGGCCAGAAGAGGGCACCAGATCTCATTATAGATGGTTGTGATGAGCCACCATGTGGTTGCTGGGAATTGAACTCTGGACCTCTGGAAGAGCAGCCAGTGCTCTTAACCGCTAAGCCATCTCTCCAGCCCCCATTTTTTTTTTTAAATTGAATTTATTTGTTTTGTAGGGGTGTGCATGCTGTGGAATTTGTGTGAATATCCCAAGAGAACTTGCTAGGTAATAGATCTTAGATCTCTCCTGCCATGTGGGATTCTCTAGATATAGGACTCTGGTTGTCAGGATTGACTATTTGTTTGCCAACAGAGCCATCTTACTTTTTTTTTTTTTTTTTTTTTTAAGACAGGTTTCTCTGTGTAGCCCTGGCTGTCCTGGAACTCACTTTATAAACCAGGCTGGCCTCAAATTCATGTATATCCTCCTGCCTCTGCCCCCAGAGTGCTAGGACTGAAGCCATGCACCACCACTGCCCGGCTAGAGCAAGCATTTCTATTGCATGGGAGGTCACAAGTAGCTTGAGCCAGCAGGTGTGTTTATCATGTGTCTGTGGTCCCACCTCCTAGGCAGCTAAGGCAGACGAATCATAGACTATAATTTTAGTTAACCTGGGTGAGGATATAAAACTTTGCTCAAAGGCGTGGTTGGTAATAGAGATTTTCAGACCATCCAAGGCTAGAGTTGAAAGGGACTAGGGAGAAAGCCTAGTCAGTGAAGTGTTTAAAGGCCTGTCTTAGCCAGGGTTACGATTGCTGGGATGAGACTCGGGGACCAAAAAGCAAGTAGGGGAGGAAAGGGTTTATTTGGCTTACACCTCTACAACACCCTTCAGCATCGAAAGAAGTCAGGGCAGAGGCCATGGATGGATGCTGCTTATTAGCTTGTTCCCCATGGCTTGCTTGGCCAATTAGAGCCCAGGGCTGGGCCCTCTCCCAAGAATCATTAAGAAAATGCTTCATAGGCTTGCCTGCAGGAGACATTTTCTCATTTTAGGCTCCCTATCTGATGACATAAAGACTATCTGGGGATGATAGTGCATGCCTATAATTTCTTTGCTGGGGGTGTAGAAACAGGCAGGGAGGGTCCTTGGGGCCTGATAGCCTACTTGGCGAGTTCCAAGCCAGTGAGAGACCCCGTTTTAAAAAAACAAGGTGGAGCCAGGCGGCGGCGGTGGTGGCGCACGCCTTTAATCCCAGCACTCGAGAGGCAGAGCCAGGCGGATCTCTGTGAGTTCAAGGCCAGCCTGGGTTACCAAGTGAGTCCCAGGAAAGGCGCAAAGCTACACAGAGAAACCCTGTCTCGAAAAACAAAAAAAAAAAACAAGGTGGATTGTAGGGAGCCGCTATTCAAAGATGGCACTGGCTTCCTGGTAGCCTAGCTGTAAACAACTCCATATTTGGCTATGATGCACGAGTATGGTAATTGGCCTTATGTCCTCAGCCTATCCCGTGACTCCCCATGCTAGCATTCTGGCGGGACCCAATCACAGTACGGCAAGTTTGCCTGATTCCCCTTATAAGCAGTGGCAATTTAGTTCTTGGGGCCCCTCACCTCCCGCTCTCCCTTAACCAAGAGGCGCTCCAATAAAGTGTGATCTGAGAAGAATCCTCGTGTGGTGGTCGTTCTTCCTCGCTGGCCGAGGAGCACGCCACAGTGGATGTCACCCGAGGGATAACACTCAGGACTCACATGGTGGCTTACAATCATCTGTAAGTGCAGGTACTAGGAATGCACATGGTACACGTATGTACATACAGGCAAAACACTCAAACACTCACCACATAATTTGGTTTTTGTTTTTGAGTCAGGGTTTCTCTGTAGCCCTTGCTGTCCTGGAACTCACTCTAGATTAGGCTGGCTTTGAACTCAGATCTGCCTGCCTCTGCTAGAATTAAAGACACAGGCTACCACTGCCCAGCTAAATTTTTGTCTTAAATGAAATTTTTTAAAAACAGGTTGAGATGGCTCAGCAGGTAAAGACACTTGCTATGCTACTGTAGTTCAGTCCCTAGAGCCCACAGTGCAAAGCAAGCCACTCTACAAAGTTGTCTCTGACTTCCACGTGTTATACTGCTGCACATATACACAGTGATGATTGGAATATACAGGTTTTAGGAAATAAGTAAATAAAGCAGGGCATTGGTGTCACACGCTTCTAGTTCCAGCACTCAGGCAGAGGCAAGCAGATTCTGAGTTTGAGGCCAGCCTGGTCTACATAGTTCCAAGATAGCCAGGGCTGCATAGTGAAACCCTGTCTCAAAATAAATAAATAAATAAAATAAAAAGAAGAAAGAAAGAAGGGAAATACTTAAATAGGCTTCTTGTGGTTTGTATGTGTGTGTTTAAAGACAGTCTCACTGTGGAGTTCTGTGTGTAAGACTAGTTCTGGCTGGCCTGGAACTCACTGCCTCTGCCTCCCCAGGAGTAGGATTAAAGGAATGTGCCACCAAACCTGACTTCACATATATCTTCAGAGACACTTGAAAACGCTATCATATTTTAATTTGATATTTGAAAACTTGATAGTTTTTGTTTTCGGAGACAGGGTTTCTCTATGTAGTCCTGGAATTCACTCTGTAGTCCAGGTTGGACTCAACTCAGAGATCCACCTGCCCCTGTTTCTGCTGGGATTAGGGCGTGAGCCACCACCGCCTGGCTTGAAAGCTTGATAGTTTTTATATTGGTTGTTGAGATAGCTCAGTCGTTAGAGTGCTAACCTCTTACCCCTCAAACATAATACAATATATTATGTTAATATACATAAAATACAAATACACACACGTGCACACTCACACCATGCACACATGTATATAGAGAAGGGATGTTGCCCACTTTCACAAGATTTATTTATGGATGTGTTTTGCCTACATGTACGTATATGCACCATGCGTCTCTGGTGCCTTGGTCAGAGGAGGGCCTCAGATCCCCTGGTGAGTCACCATCTGGGTCCTGGAAAGCAAACCTAGTTCTTTTGCAAAAACAATAGGTGCTCTTAAGTCACTGATCCGGCTTTCCACTCCCACCCCAGTTTTGTCTGAATGTTGGTTTTTTTAGACAGGGTCTCACCAGCTCTGGCTGGCCTGAAACTCCCAGAGATCCACTTACCTCAGCCTCCTGGGGGCTGAGTTACAGATGGACATCACCATTCCCAATGTGTTCCCATGTTTTCAAAGGGAACAGATTGGAGAGGGGTTCATTTTTGTTATGTCAAATTTAAACTGATTTGTCAGTAAGAAAAAAGTGATCTTTTTTTTTTTTCCTTTTCCGGGATTTTCAAGTTCCTGTCCTTGTTTTAAGTGGGGAATTTGAAGTTTGTTATCGTAACCTTCATTCCTGGCAGGAATGAAAATACATTAAGAGATCTACAACCCCCTTCCTTTATCTAGAGACCAGTTTGAACAAGGAACCCCATGGGACCAGGATTTCTCCTGGAATTCCACACAGTCTTGGAGTGGGGCAGGAAGAAAAGCAGAAGCTGGGTGCCAGTCAGGGAGGGAGCTTGTCAGAGGTCAGCGCTTCTCAGACCCCTGTGCAGGATAAACTGAATGGGTCAGTGATGGGCAGGGCCACATCTTGACCAGAACGCCTACACTGTGCCCTGTATTTAAATTTAAACCTCATGGGACTGGAGAGATGGCTCAGTGGTTAAGAATACTGGCTCCTCTTCAGAGGACCCGGTTTTGATTCCCAGCATCCATATAGTGACTCAAAGCCATTTGTAACTCCAGTTCCAGGGCATCCAACACCCTCCTCTAGCCTCTGAGGCTACTTACCGTGTATGCGGTGCACATCCAGGGGAGAAAAACAGTCGTACACATAAACCTTTTGTTGGTTTTGGTTTTTGGTTTGTGTTGGTTTGGGGTTTTTTGAGATGGCCCTGGCTGTCCTGGAACTGGTTCTGTAGACCAGGCTGGCCTAGAACTCACCGAGATCTGCCTGCCTGCATCTGCCTCCCGAGTGCTGGGATTAAAGATAAGTGTCAGCACCGCCTGGCAATAAATCTTAAAAAATAACAAAACACGTCAAGACCCTGAAGATAGGGCTAGAAGTTAAACACACCTCTATATCTTCCCACCATGTCCACACCAAATAACTATTTTTGTTTCTCACTGTTACGTGTCTGGTATTTGGGGGGACAGTGGCTGAGCCTAGCTTGTTGGGGCTTCCAACATCTCATAGTATTTAAATGTGTAGAGATTCAGGCGGAGGACAGGGTTCGGTTGGCAAAGTCTTGCTGTACAAGCAAAGAGGACCTGAGTTATGATGCTTGGTACCCATGTGAAAAGCCAGGTGTGACACCTGTAATCCTGCACTGAAGAGGCGGAGACAGGCAGTTCCCTGGGACTCACAGTTGGGGAAGACACCCAAGATCTACCTCTCCCACCTTTGTGTGTGTGTGCACCCCACAAGTGCGTGAACATGTATACAGAAACACAAAACCCTTTTTTTCCTGAAGATTACGCCAGTTGAACCAAGTTCGGCTTTAACTATCCTAGATAACCCAGTTAAATATTGTGTGGATAATCACTGTATTTTACAGCCTCAGCTGTGGTTATAAGGTCAGGATTCCTCCCACAGGCTTCTAAAAGTGCCTTGAACATGGGTCTGCCTTGGCCGGCCCTCTTCCTGGGCACCGTCCTCCTGAGTCTTTCCTGCCAGGGGACTGACTGGGAATCTGACAGGAATTTTATCTCAGCCGCTGGTCCTCTGACAAATGGCTTAGTGCTTAGCCTGAGACATCCGCTGGGAACCCGGGGCTCTGATGGGGTAGCTGGTAGCACGGTCATCTCCATCTGCCAGCAGCCGTTGCCGTCTCTCCTCCCACAGTATTTCCACAGTCTTCATGCCAGTCAGGTCACCCATTACAAAGTGCTTCTGTCATGGGCACAGCTTCTCCCCACAGGAAGCTCCAGGAATCCAGACCAGGAAGCGGTCCGCTGCTACCGACAGCTGCTGCGGTCCCTCAAGGCTGCCCAGCTTCAGCCCATGGTGGTCCTGTGCCACCAGGCCCCACCCACCAGCGGCGCCATCCAGAGAGACGGCGACTTCGCTGACCTCTTTGCCGACTATGCCGCATTCGCCTTCCAGTCCTTCGGGGACCTCGTGGAGATCTGGTTCACCTTCAGTGACGTGGAGAAAGTGATCATGGGTCTTCCCCACCAGGGTTCGAAAGCCTCCGCTCTCCAAGCCCTCAGCAGTGCCCACAGGAGAGCCTTCGAAGTCTACCACAGGAAGTTCTCTTCTCAGGGTGAGTACACACGGACACGGGGG